GGAAGCGGACTTTTATATAAACATAATGGATACGAAATACAGTGGCTCTTTGCTAGTGCACAAACATCACAACGGAAACTAGAAACATCACATTTTGCAAACAAACAAGGAAATAATTTTTTCAGATAACCAAATGAAGCATGCCCCAGACTTCAATGCCACAACCAGATTTTAGATTTTTTTTTCCTCTCCCTTAGAACCATCCACTGTCAATGCTTGCCGTAGCTTGTTAGAACTTTTGGACATCAAGTCCAAGTAATACAGTTTCCCTCGCCTAAAACCATAACCAATCATCTGCTTTGTATGGATGTCCTTAAACACAAAAAAATCAGGCCAAAAAATGATAATACAAGATAAAGCTGTGGTTATTTGGGAAACTGACAAAAGATTAGAATCTAAAGATGGAACAACTAAAACAGAATCTAAATGCAGATTATCAGTGAGTGTCAAAGATCCCTCCCCAATAACTGGGGTCAAAGTCCCATTGGCAGTAGAAACAACTTTGTGTGAGGATGAATTAAGAGGTGAGACCTGTCTAAAATCAAATGTCATATGATCTGTGGCACCAGAATCAATTATTCATGCACTATTAGCAACATGTGTAGAAATGTTGAAATTCTTACCACCAGTAACTGTTGTCTTAATAACTGCTGCAGTGGAGGTCTTTGTTAAATTTTTCTTCTAACGGCGATGATCCCACCATTCCGGATATTCTACAAGTTTGAAACAACGACTTTTGGTATGACCAATCTGGTTGTAATGAGTACATTTATAGGTAAGCTTGTCTACTTCAGAAGATTCAATATTTGTTTCACGCATTTTTTTATTTTTTGGAACTGGTTTATCACAGAACCAGTTTTCAAATGAGGTTACAAAACTGGTTTAGTTTTGAACTAATCCAGAACTGGAATAGTATTACACTTGTGGCCAAAGAGGTTTTTTTTTTTTTTTTTTTGAGAATATAATATATATATCAGTATCTATTAGAAGAACAAAAAATACCAGGAAGAAGAAATCAGAAGGACTTGGCTAGGAGAAGACGAATCGGTGGTAGAGCTCAGCCGTGAGCTCCGGTCGAGGAAGGCGACCGGCGATGCGACGGTGGCAAGTCGTCAAGAGATCGGCGACTTCATAGAGAGCAGATCTGGTTCGGTTCGGAAGTTCCGGCGACGGCGACAAGCTTGGACTCGCGGCGCGGCAAGGAGATCCAGCGATCCGACGTGATCCAGCGGCAGTACTGTTCAGCAGATCTCCGGAAGATCTTCGGCAGCGTCGGGATGGTCGAGGAGTGTGATACCCCTTGGATCCGAGACACGGGTTGATCAGGTCCAGGCCCAAACCCGAGGGAATATCAAACAATCAATATGTAACGAACACAGAATACAAAGTGAAATAAGAAATAAAAATAATAAACTGAAGGAATGCTAGTTTAAAATCCTCAAAATATAATTATTAAAATCCAATACTCCAAAACTCCATAAGTTTAACAACTCGGGAATCCATCTAGTAGACCCCTTATTAAAATCCCAATAGAAACTAAAACATCAAAAAATAGAATCTAAAGTTAAACATAGAAAGGATTCCTACGTAGTCGGAGGAACGAATGTCTGTATCTGCCCTGGAACTGACGAACACCTGAAAAATAAGGGAGTGGGTCAGGCCCACATGCAAGTCCTATTCTACTACAATCCATACAATAATCCAATACACAGATATATCCTAGATAGCCCAACAATATCTAGAGTAGTCCATATGTATATATAGTACACACTATAGGACGCTCGCTAGTCCAATAAGTCTGTCACAGTCTGAGTAGAGATACCATGCAAATTGCACATAATGTGGTCATGTGTACCTAGACCTACCAGGGAATAACACCTATGTCCAGTTATTCATCCTAGGCGATATACGCACCCTAACCATGGTCCTAAGACTCAAGCTCATACCATGGCACCATATAATAAATATATAAAGTCCATACTCCTCCTAATATAAAATACCATCCATCTGTGTAGTGGTCTGATATATGTATAATCATCCGTCCTGAAATCATATTAAGTCATTCAACTATTTTGTTGACATGACACAAGTAGGTGATGGACTTGACCTATATGGTTAATTCGTACCTTAATCCAAATTAGGTAGGACTTAATATTTGAACTAATCCATACCTAGTATGTTACCGTCCCATACTGGTACATACAATCCTCCAGTTAACAAAGTTGACAAAAATAGTAATAGATACTTATCAACCATACTCCAGAATTAGCATAAATACAGTTTAATATGTGTATGATCAAATTATACATCCAATATAAGATTTAGAGATTTTATTCCAGTCCTTCAAATTTACAAAGTAGGACTACGTACACAACTCCTCCAAACAGTACCATAACTGATGCAATATACAGTCGATTTTAAAACATCAATTAATTTCCATTTAAGCATACTTATTTTTCCAGATAAATAACTATATACTTATAACATAGTTGAGACATAATTAACAGTTTAAAATCATGCGAATAAACCAAATTGCTTTAGAAAAACAATAAGCGATTTCAATGTATAATCCAACCTTCCACATACAGGTTTATTGTTTAACCTAATATTATTTCCTATTGCAACATATTAACATCAACATGCTTCCCAAGAGTTTTTACAAGTTTGTAATAGATATAAATCTCATTCACAGCCACTGGAACCATTTAGAAACAACTCCCACAGTCCAAACCAAACCCAGAACTTGAAAAACTGAAGAAAAGAGGGTAGAGCCGCCTCCTAAAACAAAGGGGCCGGCTCTCCCCATAGTGGAGCCGCCTCCACCTCATGTGGAGACGGCTCTACCCCTTGTAGAGCCGGCTCTACAATCCCTAGAGCCGGCTCCCTCTTTTGGTGAGCCGGCTCTCCTCCTTTGAGAGCCGTATCCCCTAACCTATTCGTCTTCTTCGCCTCCGGCGAAGTTCAGAGCCACTGTACAGTTTTTATAACTTATTTCAGGGTTCAATTAATGTCCTAGAATTAATTATAAGTATGCATCCAATCCCAAATATACCAAGGCTAAGCAAGATTTAAACCAATGCAAATAGAATCTTAAGCGGGAACAACATTCAACACAAAACAGATTCATGTAACGATTTAAAAGTTGTTTCAAACATGTTTACAAGATTAATATTAACTTCAATTTAATCTGTTTTAATACTTGATTAATCCCTGGAGTCTAACTAGGCATGCACAGAACACGAATTAAAGGGAAGGAATAAAATAGAGACTTGCCTTGAGTTTCAATTTTGAAACTCTAAACCACCATCTCTGAAGCTTCCGTCCACGTCCGAGACTCCTGTTCTACACCTCCGGTGCTCTTGGTTTAACCCAGAAGCACTCTGTCCAATTATCCTTGAACCTCTCTGGAAATCTCTCAAAGTTCTCACCATCTCACTGTAGTGAATAAGGTTTTGTTTGTAACCCTAAACCAACGTATTGTTATATATAAATAGAGACGTGAATACAAACCTATTCCCAGTATGATTAGAGACAGAGCCCTAATCCTAACCCTAGTCGGCCCATATAACAACCTACATTTAAAATCTATGTCGGCTATAAACTGTAACCCTAATATAACTATATGTGTGCCACCATATAGTCACATTAAACCAATTAAATTTAATTAACTTAATTCAATTAAAACAACGAGATTAGACACTTAAATAATTAACTATAATTAGAACAATTAAAGTAAAGCAAGTAAATAATTAAATTCAATTAAATCACCACAATAAAAACAATTAAATTAACACATATACACGTCAACAATTAATGCAAATATAAACAAATAAAACAACTAAAACGAAAATTAATACTAAATAAATACCAATAATATCCTTTTTAAAATTAGGGGTATTACAAGGAGTACAGAGTTATGGACAGCAAGTTGACTGCGACTTGTGATGGGTATGGATGATGGCGACTTTATGTGTATGGGTATGGATGATTGTATGTGTATGGGTATAGGTCTTTGAATTGTGTATGGGCATGGGTATTTATGTATATATGTATGGGCTTTTGAATTTTAAAGATAAATAATTCAAAGATAAATTCAAAGAGATTCAAAGTTACGGTTCAATGATGGCTCTGATACCATCTTGAAATTCAAAGGAAAAATATGAGAATTTAAACTTTATTCAATTCATCATTGATGAGTAACATCCAATTTATAGAATAAGATTAGCTAAAATAGGTAACTAATTACCTCCCAATTAGCCCTAAATTAATGAAAAAATAATTCAATCTTATAGCTGTACTATAAGAGATAAAATCTCAACACTTCCTTATGCCCTAAGCACTTGTATATGGTTGCAACGTCCTAGCTTTTGGTGGGTCAGGTTTTGTTGTATTAAGCCAAACTCATTCTTTGTTTACTAGCCAGACTTATTTCTACCCATTTAATCCGATATTCAGATTATTAAATTATTTGAAATATCATACTTCTTTTTTTTTTTCTTTTTTTTTTTATTTTTAGCAAAGTGTACTTGGGTAAACAAATTAAAGAAGATAACTTCAGCAGAACTTATTAATTTAACACATTGAATCAATCAGGGACGGAGGAAGGATATCCCGGCGGAAATTTCTAGCTCCCTCCCTTATATACCATATGTGTTTCCTTTTTAACACTAGGTAATGCTTAGAGATTTTATTTTACTTTTTTAAATTGGGACATTTTTATAACTTAAAAAAAAAAAAAAATACACCATATATATAAAAAGAGTTCGTTACAACAAATTAGGGTGTGGGGAAATTGGAACATGCCATACTTGCTTAGAGAGTTGCGTGCTCAGCGGTCTAACATTTAGAACACTAGGTAATGTTAAGAGATTTTATTTTATTTTTTTAAGTTGCGACATTTTTATAACTTAAAAACAATATATATATATATATATATATATATATATATATATATATATATATATATATGCGGGAAATTCGAACACGCCATACTTGTTTAGAGAGTTGCGCTCTAACAAATAGGACATTAGGTAACGGCAAGAAATTTTTATTTTTTATTTTTTATTTTTATTTTTATTTTTATTTTTTTTAAGTGGGGACATTTTTATAACTTAAAAAAAATAAAAATAAATAAAAAGAAAAAGAAAAAGTTAGTTACAACAAAAGTTGAGTTGGAGAAATTCTATGTCCACTACTCACCACACTTCCATTTTCTTTGATCCCAAAGATCATTTAACAGAGCGGGAAGGGGGCCACGACAATTAAATGACATAAAAAACTTTACCTATAACAAATACAGTATTTGACCCACTCAACCTAAGGTTGGCTGTTACTTCCCATCTCAATCTCAGCGTCCATCATCATCATCATCTTCTTCTTCTTTAGTTCCTTGGCATTTGATTTCCACTTGAAAAACGTTCCAAACAACAACTCCATATCTTCAAGACTCGTGCCCTTTGTTTCGGGTAGCAGTGTATAGAAGAAAACCCAAGAAATCACTGAGATCCCTGAGAACAAGAAGAATGCCCCACCAATAGTGATGGCCTTGTAGAGAGAGATAAAAGTCATGGAGATAGTACCACTCATAACCCTATTCACCGCAACTCCGAAACTACAACCTTGAGCTCGTAGCTTCAACGGAAATATCTCGGAGCTATACACCCACGTGATCGGACCCAACCCGATGGAGAAGAATCCAACATTTGATAAGATGGTTACCAGGCACAAAACGACGGCCCAGTGTATCGTATGAGTCGACTGATCGATGACGGTCAAACCCAAACCCAGAAAAAAAAGTGACACGATCATACCACCCACGCTGGTGAGGAGCAACGGTCGGCGTCCGAACTTATCCACCATGAACGTCGCCACCAAGATGAAGATGGTTTTGACGAATCCGACCGCCATGGTCGCCAGCAGCTTCTTGTTGTCGTCGTCGATACCGGCCTTCTCGAAGATTCTAGGGCTGTACAAAACGACGGCGTCCACGCCGGTGACTTGTTGGAAGAAGTGTAGACCTATGGCGGAGATCAAGATATGGCGGACGGCCGGTGTTGGATGGACGAGTAAATCTTTCCAAACGGGGTCGCCTTTCTTGAGCTTGACCGGCTCAACGACGTCGTCGGTGCAGTCTAGGGGGATTCCGGCGGCTTCTTTGATGTCCGCAAGTCTGAACTCGGCCTCTTCGTCGGAATCTGAAGTTTTGTAGAGAACTTTCTTTGCCTCGCCGAGTCGACCCTGCATGACTAGCCAACGCGGTGACTCGGGCATGGCTAAGACACCGATCCCCAAGAAAACTGCTGGAACGGCTGCGATACCGAGCATGAGTCGCCAACCCAAGTCCAGTCGGAAGTTGGAAAATCCAAGGTTTGCACAATATCCAATTAATATACCTATTAAAAAAACAAAAACAAAACATAATAATCACATAAATGTCTCTGCAGTCATATGAACTTTATTTTCTGAAAGTAAAATCATTTCTTACAAATAATAATTAATAAATATGATACTGTTGCGGAATACTTTTTAAATATGTCATTAGGCCTGGTTTAGAAATATATATATATATATATATATATATATATATATATATATATATATATATAATAAAGGCAACTATATATCTTAGAACAATTTTTTATTTTTTATTTTTTAGTTACAAAAGCCTAAAGGCTAAAACTTTTGTTGAGTTTGTGTCTAAGAGGAAAAGCAAGAAAAAAGTAATAAATAATACTAAATGAATGCATAAAAATTTTAGAAAATTTTCAATTCTGAACAAAATATATATATCTATTCTCATTTTTTAGTGAAGCCAGAAATAATTACACCTACCTTCCCTGTATATTGCCTAAATGCCAAGAATTTTCCCACTAGTTTTAAATAGAATACGGACCTCCTCATACTCTAAATTTACTTAAAATCCAAAAGTATTGTTAGAAAGCTTGAAACTGTTGTTTTAGAAACCATAGAAGAGGTATGTACAGAGGAGGTAAATCTAATTATCCCTGTAATAATAGTTCTCAGTAGCACCTGCGATCACGGACTGTTGTAATTAATTTAAAGCAATTCATAAAAATGAAAGATAAGAATTATGGTAGAGTGAGTTGAAAGTTTAAATAGAACTACTCAAAATTTCGTTGTTTCGGAATATCGGATGCACAAGGATAAGGAGCTGAACTTCGTCAATTGAAAATCCATCATACCAAAATAAATAAATAAATAATGATTAATATCCTCGATCATATATCAATATCATAATATATATATATATATATATATATATATTAGGGTTACCATACCAATGTTGATGAAGACTTCTGGGAGAGACGAGAGGAAGCCACGGTAGGAAACGGGTGCGACCTCGGTGGTGTAGACTGGGGCAATCATCATAGCATAGCCCACACCGATACCGGTGATAAAGCGTCCGAACATGAGGAATGCATAGTTTGTGGCGAAACCCATCAACAGTGCACCGGCGAAGAAGATTATAACAGCCAGGACTATAGTGTACCTGCGTCCGATCCAGTCCGAGGTTCGTCCTGCCGCCGCCGATCCAATCAGAGAATAGACGTTGAGGATTCCGGCTAGAATTTCCACTTGTGTATCGCTGATATTCAAGTCCTTCTTTATGTAGATTGATGCTCCACTCATCACTCCAATATCTGTATCAATTTAATTAATTATTAATATCTATTTTTTTTTTTCTTTTTATAAAAGACAAATAAGTTCTATAAATATTTCGTTCTCTGAAGATAACGTAATATTATGATATGATTTTCCCAACTCTGATATAAAAATACAGTGTTCTCAAATATATATACATATATATACGAAAATGATATCTTACTCAATGGTGAGTAAAAAATTCATTAACACCGTGCTTAGCGACTTAAAAATGTAGTTTTTAAAAAAAATATAGCAATCATATCCAATAGTCACTCATCAGTATGCACAGTGTGGATGAATTTTTACTCAAGATTAACATTACATTAGTGGGAAAATTTTAAGTGGATTACATGTGTGTGTGTGTGGAGCAAACTCAGATAAGAGAAGAATGGATATGTGTAGAGAAAGAAGTGCGTATATATAAATAGTGTTCTTAAATATATATATATATATATATATATATATATATATATATATACACACACACACGGAAATGATCTCTTGTTTAACGGTGAGTAAAAAATTCATCCACACCTTGCGTAGCGACCTAAAAACTGTAGTTTCTTAAAAAAATATAGTAATCATATCCAATCGTCACTTTGTATAGTGTGAATGAATTTCTTGCTCAAAGAACAATATCACAGACTTCAGAAAATTTTAACTAGATTACTTGTGTGTGGATATATATATATAGCAAACTCAGAGAAGAATGGATATGTATAGAGAAAGTAGTGTGTGTATATATAAATAGATATAGCAACTCACCATATCCCAATAGCATAGAATTCATGGAAGCTAAAACGCCACAAAGAACAGCAAACATGTTTTTCTTTTTTCTCTTGGGCGGATCAAAAGCTGGAGTTGAGCCATTGTTGGTCATCTTGAGAAATAAGAGTAAGTTATGTGGGATAAATTAATTCACAGATTATTATTAAGACATATATGGTTTGAGAGATCTAAATATTATACATATATATATATATATATATATATGTATGTATGATAAAGATGGAGGGGATATGGCCAGTTGTTGTGAGCGGTTCAGCGCTAAGCTCTGGAGTACTTGGCATGCAAGGGTTATGGTGATATATATGGGCCACATGGTCAATGACATTTGTTAGCTTCACGTCATTCCTTACTGTTTTATAAATTCATGTGGAAGTGGATGTAATGTAACCACAATTGGTTATATTCGATGTAATCACTTTGTTATAATTTTTAACCGGATTACTCCAAAGTCCATTTGGTAACCGTTATTAATTTGTTTGGCGTTTTCGTTTTGACATGAAACAGAAATCCATATTTTTTTGTTGTGCCGTGAGTTCTTTGGATATATTGAAATCATGTCTCCTAACTCAAAATGGTGCAGTGAAATTTGAAAGCAAATATTTCATCATGGAGACACAAACATGTGTACCAAAGACAATTACTGCAAGAAACTGAAAGCAAAATAAACAAAACTTGTTTGGTGGAATACTATTTTCAATTTATTTTTTGTTGATTTTTTTTTTTATATATATTTTTTTCAATTTGTTTGGTAAAACCATTTTTGTTTCAATTTTTTTCCCTTTCCAACCAAGAAATTGTCACATAGCAGCTCCATGTTGGAGTTGCTCTGCACAATCAACCGGATTTGATACCAGTTGTTGTGGCGGAAATGCAAATAACAACGTTGTTCGAGGAATAATCACAAGCAATAACAAAGAAAAAAAAATCACACACAAGAACACAATATATACATGGTTTACCCAAATCTTAGGGCTACGTTCATGGAGCACACCGAACAAATTCAATATGAAGAACATGAAAAATTACAATATAGAATTTTCTCTCAATCTTTCTCAATTACTCTATCTTATATTGGCACAAATTAATCAACCACATAGCACGTATGATGATCCTCACTTTTTTTCTTTTCTCTATTTTTACCACACCCTAAAATCTGATTAGAGTTGGTATATGTTGAACCAAGAGGGGGGGTGAATTGGTTAAAACTTTACATTCTAAAACTTTCTCAACACAACTAAGCAAGCATTCAAGAACAGATAACATACGGTTTACAAGGAAACCCTCTTAACTAGGGGAAACCTTTGTTCTTGACCTCGGCCAATAAGCAATCCACTACTAGCTGTATGTATTTTGTTACACACTCAGCTATCTCACTCTCTGCACACACCCAGGCACAAGAATAAACACTAGTTTTCACAACCAATACACACATTAGTATACCACAGTGCATCCACACACTCCCCTTGTCCTAAGCAACCATGCGTAGACCAACTAAGCTATCATAGCTCACTTAACAATGGGGTGAGGATTTAAAGCCTCAGTGCCACTTACAATAAGTGTCAACACACTAAATACAATAACATCTTTGCAACAATTAGAATAGGCTGGACAACCCAGAATTCCAAGTTACTGCCTCAGAACTGCAATCGGCTGCATCTACAGTCTGAGAAGTAAAATGGGAAATTCCTTTTAAGATTAATTCATCAGCGCCTCATACAGTCTTCTTTCACTGTTGTACTCATGTTCATAGATTTGCATAATCAAACACAGCATGAGTATATCACAACGTTCAGTCAAAGTCCTTGGTTCAGCATATAACAGCTTAAGCACAAGATAGGTTTCGGCACAAGATAGCTTCAGCACAAATAGCTTCGGCACAAATAGCTTCGTACAGAATACTCAAACTCAAAGCATATCATATTTTTGTCACAAACTCAACTTAAACAATCTTGATTCATCAAAATATACTAGCTAGCAGCATAGATCATCATGAAATAGCTAAGTATAATCAAATAGCACTTGAATCCAAGATTTCTTCAGAAAAACAAGCTTAATTAGTGACCACACTATCCAAATTCATTTTCAGTATATTCTCAACACAAACTTAGTCTGAACAAGTGTAAAAAGTGAATTATACCTGTGTCAACCTTCAGAATCGACCACAACAGCTTGAAGCACCAAGTCACTACTCAATACAACCCTTGCATCAGCAAATTTGATAGCACCCTTATCTCAGCAATCAATACATGCCTCAGAGTTGATTCAATGAGTTTTTCTTGGATAGATCATCATTAAACAGCAGAGAAAAACTTGCTTGACATAGCATAGTCGAGGGTTCTCAGCAGCAGCTCAATGTGCAATGTATATTCAAGAGGCTTGAACCCTAAAAGTCACTATATCAGCATATTTATAGTGACACTGAATTACACAAGGCCTCACACACCATGGATATACACCTGTCAACTCTAGCCAATGATTGAGAGAGCATATTTCAAATATTTTCAGAGCAATGCACCAATGCAGGCCTGCCACCTCCGCTAATTTTGTCACTAGCCGAGGCTGAAGCATTGCAATGTACTACTACAGACCTCTGAAGCAATACTTTTTGACATTAAAAGGCAAACATTCCTTAACGTAACTTAGGACCAACAATATATATATAGCCCCAAATAATTTGTCCAACAAAAAATTATCTTTTGTAGAATCTAAAACCAATAAGGAAGTTAAAACAGATCAGGAAACTGGATTTTCCCTAAAATTCAGCAATCTTGAAGTTTTCTTATAATTAAATCTTCCTAAAAATCTTTCACCTAATCAAACTCCTCAAAACCATAACAATCTCCCACTTGGAGGCTGGAACACTTGTAAACTCATTCCATTTTCTTCTCATGCATGTTGGTATGTTTCTCTCTATCTTCAAGCTAAAAGACCGACTGAAGTTGTGCACAACTTCAGTTTCTCCACGGTCACTATTTCGGTCAACATGTCAGCCGAATTCTTAATGCCAAGAATTTTCTCAAGTGTCAGCACCCCATCTTCTAACAACGATCTGATGAAGTGATACTGAAGTCCTATATGGTTGGACCTTGAATGAAATGTTGGATTCTTTGCCAGATGTATTGCACTCTATCTATCACTGTGCAAAACATTATTCACCTGTTCGAATCCCAACTTTTTCAACAAACCTTATAACCAAATCACCTCCTTGATGGCCTCTGTCATCGCCACATACTCTACCTCTGTAGTAGATAATGCTACAATCCTTTGTATTTGCGAAACCCAACTAACTACAATTATACCCACCATGAACACATACCCGGTAATACTTTTTCTGTGGTCCACCTCAACAGCAAATTCTGAATCCGCATAACTATGTAGCTTCACCTCGCCCCTTCTGAAATATAGGCATCTGTATGTGGTACCCCGTAGATATTTTAATATCTACTTCACTGCTTCCTAGTGTAGCTTACCCGGATCCTTCATAAACCTACTTACTGCTCCCTTTGCATATGCAATGTTCGGTATTGTGCACACCATAGCATACATCAAACTTCTAATGCCTGAGGCATATAGAATTTTAGCCATGAAGTTTTTCTCATCCTATGTCTTCGGACACTTATCTTAAGATAATCGGAAGTGATTAGCTAAGGTAGTACTCACCGCCTTAGCATTATTCATATTGAACCTTTTCAGAACCCGTTCAACGTATTCAGCCTGAGACAACTGTAAAGTACCTTTTTACTTGTCTCTACTAATCCTCATACCAATAATTTGCTTTGTTCCACTAAGATCCTTCATCTCGAATTCACTAGACAACTGTTTCTTCAATTTGCTAATTTTTTCAAAATCAGAACCTGCCACTAACATGTCATCAACATAAAGTAGAAGGATAATAAAACTTGACTTAAACCTCTTGAAGTAGCAGCAATGGTCAGCGCTGCACTTATTGCAGCCATGTTGCTTCATAAAATCATCAAACTCCTTGTATTACTACATCGGGGCTTGCTTTAAACCATACAAGTTTTTCTTCAACTTGCACACTAGTTTCTCTTTCCCTTTGACTGAGAAGCCCTCCGGTTGTTACATGTAAATCTCCTCCTCTAAGTCACTATGGAGGAAAGCAGTTTTGACATCTAACTGCTCAAGGTGCAACCTTTCTACTGTAACATTGCTAAGAACTGAGCAAATGGTGCTCAATTTCATAACCGGGGAAAAAATGTCTATGTAGCCAATGCCTTACTTTTGCTGAAAGCCTTTGACCACCAATCTCGCCTTGTATCTCTTAGAACCATCGTGTTCCTTTTTTACCCTGTACACCCATTTGTTTTGAAGAGCTTTCTTTCCAATGGGTAACTTGGCTAGTTCCCATGTTTTGTTAGAGATAAGGGACTTCATCTCATCTTCCATTGCAAGCTCCCACTTACTAGCATCTTCAACCTGACATGCTTCATCATAGCATTCAATCTCACCATCATCTATGAGCAACATATAATCCATATATTTCTGTTCGGTACATGAGGAAACATGTGTTATGACTTAGTCATTTTCCTTCCTTTCATTTTCCTTAAACTTTACGGATATATTTTTTTTTTTCGTTGATCTTTTCTTTTTTGAGTTCAGTTTCTCATCACTTAGTGTCATCTCGAGTGCTCAGAAATGATTTTCGAGACTCTTTTCTTTGGACTGATAACTTCATTTAAGGACCAATTCATTTCCACATTTTCACTTTTTGGACACTATTCACTTTTCGTTTTTTTCCCATTTGTCACTTTGTTGGCACAACCTCACTTTCGTGTTCGGATTTGATTCTGGTTTTGTATGCATCCACGATATTCAAATTTCATACTATCTATATTTTTACTTTTGTAGAAAAGCATGTTAGTAGTGTACTTTTACGTAAAGGGGTATGGATGTATACTTCATTGCATTTTTTCTTTCTTTTGGGGATATTTGTGTAATTATGTAACATAATTATTTTTCTTCTTATGGACCATTTTGTAATTTAATTTGAAAGATATTTTGAAAAAAAATATTTTTGCAATTTTCGAAAAGTGTGACAAATGTCACACTCTCATTGGTCCACTTATTGAC